ATACATCGAGACGTTGGCATCTGATATTATGTTAGGCATATCGTTCCGGAAAATATTCCACTTCCCTGAAAATATTCTCTCTTCCCTGAAAATATGATCGTATGAGCTGTATGGCTTTATCGGAGAAATTGTAGGCCTGCAGTTTATTTATGAGCAACTGAGGGCTGAGAGAGTCAAAAGCCTTGCTCATATCCGATGACAACATACCGACAATTTTCTTGCCGTCTAGTTCTGCTCTCCATGTTTCGGTAAGCCTTATCAGCGTGGTCTCACAGCTATTCTTTGCACGATAGGCAGTGATAGCATCCCTGAGTCTGTCATCCATAAACTTACTGACTTGTTGGCCCAGCAATACTTCATAGACTTTATTCACGCATGGCAGCACCGTGATAGGTCTATAGTTTGTATCCCTTTGTTTATCATCCTTCTTATGTACCGGTATCCATTCTCCACGCTTAAGCTTTGCTATCCATTCTCCATTTCTAATGGCTTGGTTAAAAATCACAGGGGTCTTGAATGAAGGCAATATGCGAACAATTTCCTCCGAATAGACCTTGTAACCCTTCTTTGCTAAATCCATTAGTAAATAATATATCTTAGTGGATTGTAAACTTTGTTTGAACTTTGGAGAGATATTTCTCTCAAGCGGATATCCTTTGAAAAAAAAAAAACACTAGCAGAGCATGGATGCACAGCTGAACTCCCTCGGGTACAAGGGTGTTCAGCTGTGTGGAAGTAGGTTTGCCATTGCAGTTCTTCCTGCCTCCGTCTATACACCACCGATAAGTGCCATGATATCCCAGTCCTTTTAGGACCCTCAGTGACTTCACGCCAGAAACTTCATCGCCCAGGTGTCAATGATAAAAACAGTCTCTTTATCTCGCGCGCGTCTTCCTTTCTCGTGGCCGTCCCTTTGCCAGTTTTTCATAAAAAGCTAGCAGTTACCTCGAAAAGTAAGTGCCTACCCAGCCACATGATTCTTTTCACCTAATGTATCAATCGTAACCGTAAAAATGTCGCCATTATCCAGATTAGTGCAACATACGTGACAGTGTTTTTTTTTTTTTTACTGTACTCGGATTTCCGGCTATCCACTTGAAGAACCGTCTTGGAGGTTACCTTTGGCACTTGTAAACTTATGTACAGATAATTTTTTTCTAATGTACAAATGGTGTTCCTGTTCTAACCGAATGCAAAAATCAGCCCTGTGCCTTGGCAAGTGCATGCCTAGAAGGAGAATGATGTTACTGCCGGGAGAAAAAAAAATAAAGCCCAGGCAGCTACCTAACAGAATTTCGTACAGGGAGGATTCGCCCAGGGGTCCAATCCCTTACTAGCCGTGTTACGGGGAAGGGTGCGGCTACAGCTAGGCTAACCCTAACCCTTTTATATACAATTTTTGACAGAAAAATTAACCCCTTCATTTATTTTCTTTATGTTGATAACTGGTTCAGCTTTCATGTAATAGATTAGGACTGTGCATCCCTTTTAACTGCTGTACATGCACTGCCTTCTAAAATTGAATAAATCACAAACCCAGAACGTTTTCTCGACTTTTCTTAGGCCTTAGATTCATCTGCTAGCCCGTCTGGGCCTCTTTCGGCAGACCGGAATGACAGATTTCACTACCCTTTCATAAACTTCAACTAGGGAAATCCCTACCCTTTCATATACCCGAAGCCTGGAAAAGGTACCCCTTTCGGGCGTAGCCTTCCGAATAGGCCGATATAGGGAGTACCCTTCCCCCCCCTCCCCCTCCCCCCCCTCCACCAGGCTGTTAAGAGAAAATAAAAGAAACAGATACAAATACATATAAGATGATAATATTAACACAAATATTATGTTATAGAAAGATATTTACCTGCTCTGGCTCACATACACTTTATTTCAGATATTGCCCATTCCCTGCCCTTTCGAAGCTATAGCCCCGGCTGTGCTTTTGCCCACGGTTGCGTGACTTTCTGGTAAATTTCCTGTCCGGCAAGCTTGCTGTTCGAAACGCAACACATGTGAGTGTAGCTAAATGTCGTGGGTCGTGGGTAGAGGTCGTGGGTCGTGGGTGTGCGTGTGGGTAATTTTCGTGGGTAAAAAAAAGTATAGGAAAAAAAAATGATAAAGTAAAGTAATTGAAAAAAAGAAATAGATAGAAAAAAGTTGTAAACTATTTATGAAATGAAAATCTCCAACTCCTTGATTGCCTTTTTCGTCACGGACTCTTCTTCGTCCTCTTCCTGATATTTCCTAAGCTACGTGGGACTTGGCTCCCCTTTCACAACATAACTGTATAAAAGACATGTTGCCGATGAAGATTTTATCCATACCGGAGCTATCGCCGCGAAATAAACGAAACAGACGTAAATTATACCTGCAATTGGCAGAAAGTATGGGACAGCTCTGACTCACGACATCTACCCCCACCCACACCCATGACTAACAGTCGTTCTGTCGCAATTTGTAATAATCATCGCACTTTGTAATACCCGTCGCAATTTGTAATAAACCGTATCGCACTTTGCAATAAAAAAGCTGTCGCAATTTGTAATAACTGTCCATCGCACTTTGTAGTGAACTAATCTGTCGCGATTTGTAATAATTCTATCACACTTTGTAATAATTTTTTGAGAGTGATTCAACTTACTTCGTCAACATTGATATAATGCCAAAATACGCATGGTACTTCATAAACAAATTGCGACAGGTATTATACAAAGTGCGATGGATTTATTACAAATTTCGACAGGTATAACAAAGTGCGATGATCATTACAAATTGCGACAGTACGACTCACGACCTCTACCTACTACCCACGACCCACGAAATTTAACTACACTCAACACATGTCCCCTGACCAGGGATTCGATCAAAAGCTTCAGAAGGGCCCAGAAGTGGGATCATTTTGCAATGGTGGAAACTAACATTGAGCTGATATAAGGTGAACATAACCTTTGGAGTTTCGTATCTGTTGCTGTGAGACCTGTGAGAAGTAATTAGCACAAAAATCGCGTTGTCTTTGTTTGTCACCTGGTTTGTTTGTGTTCGGATTACATTGTCTAATTATCTTGAAACTATTTACATCCGAAACCGATGTAATTGTTGCTTTTAAGCAAATTCAAAACGTCCTGTGAATTCTAAAAGACAGAGTGTACAGAAAATCTTCTTTTGATCGAGTAACGGGCTTTTTGAAAGAACGACTGTATTGACAACTAGGGCGCTGATGCTAATTCTGACTTTGCAAATTGTGCAGGTCTGACTTCCAGTAGCTTCCAAAAGTACTAAAAACCTTTTCTGGCAAATTACTAGACTTTTTTTCAGTTCAAGAAAGAATCGTTCACATTAAAATTAATTTAGAAATCCTATCGGCAAATATCTAAGTTGATAATTTGCCAATCGTGCGTTAACAACATCACATAACAAAGCTATTCCGGCGACTTGTATCAGGGGCACCCAACTATGGTTTCCTCCTAAATGCATTGAAAAGTCTTATTGGGCTATCCAGAGTACTTTTAGATCTCTAGAAATGCATTCAAAGTTGCACTATAAAATTTTTCTTATTCCTCTCTCCATCACATTTTTGAATCCGAAAATGATAGGTTTCCTTTTTCTACGAAAGTTAGCCTAACATAGGAAGCAAGATATGAAAAAGTAATCTTCAGAAAATCTCAGGCAATTTTTTAGATAGGCTTCGAACATTGTACCTGAATAGAACGCTCATCTAGAAATTATTAGCCGTATTCAATCAATAGAAAATTCTAGGCAATATTAGCTTCTCCGAACAGATATTTCACAGAAAGCAGGCGTTGGGTTCCCCTGGTGTATCAAAGGTACAAAGGTGAGTTAGACCTTGACACTTTTCGTGGCAAATCTTTAAGATCTATAATAGAGCACTGGGATGTTAAAAAGTTAGAGACGGGGGTACCAGGAGCATTTTTATTATGATTAACATTAGCTACATTTTACCGCCATTAAAAGCGGTCCCGAAGGGGTTTTCAAAACGGCCTGAAAAATCAAAGTATTGTCTTATCTAAAAGTTTGAAACATTGCTTGCGTAGAGGAATGATTGTTTTGAAGTTCTGTTTCTGTTGGGATCAGTTGGATTTTAAGACAACGGCGAAACCTCGTCCCCTCACCTTATTTTGGACATTTGATCAAGGGAAAAACTGAACCTTGACTTCAATTTAAATTTTTCGCGAATTTCAGAAATAAACAAAATCTCTGAAACATCTTGAATATGAATTTTGAAAATAACCTACCTAAGGGTATCTTTGGGCAAAATATCAGGGAATCGCCAAATGGATCGCTGACCGCCGATTCTCGATCCTTACCGGCAGCTATTCTAAAGGAGCTGTGTCACAATTTCGTTGGTATTGCTTTTAAATCCTTATGAACGCGTGTTAATTGAAAGGATTACGGTTTAGTCTTACGCATGTTAAATTACTTTACTGGCTAACCTAAACAGTGGGAGGATGTCTTTCTTCTGTTGAGTTACACTGGTGTGCAATCGAATTTATTTAAAACTAATCATGCTTTGATTGCCCTTTGGGAGAATCGTCTAATAAAATATAAATATATTTTTTTTTAACCGAGGTTACGTAGTTTTAATTTTCATCTCAACCTTGACCCGAAATTGAAGAATTCAGCTTGACATTTAAGGCCCTCATTCTCAACGTTTTATTTGCATCTCACTGGTTTTGAATGAGTGGGAAGCGTAATAGGATAATGATCAGATGGGCGAATAACTTAAAAGCATATTTCTTTGGAAGGTTGCAGTATATAGCAGTGTACTGTTCATGATGTGACCTAATTTATGAAATTCCAGACGGAAAGTATGGTATTGACCCAAGAGATGAGAGTAAAGTATTACGTTTCAATTCTTCTGGGCTTTATTTTTTAACAGATACAGATTTTATAGCAACTGTTGCTTTACAGTCATTATTACCTCACTACATAGCATAAGTCTAACACGCTTTTTAGAAATGTCCAGATGATCACGTGACAAGAGCTCACTGCTGAGCTTTTGCTACTTCTTCAATGAAGATACGATTCATTGAATGCCAACCGGAGACGGCGTCAGCAAGCTGTTCCCCTCTGACGCACTTTCCAACCCAGAATGCTACTCGCACCTTTCCTTTCTGAATGTTGTTGCAGTGACCTTCAATGTGGCGGTGACGGTGAAGATTGTGGTTTCTGCCTGTGTGAATGTAGAATGCTCCATCAATAGTTCCAGGGGAGCTGCACTCGGATCCATTGAAGGTGAAATACCAGCGACTACAGCAGCGGTCACAAAAGGCAACCCTGAGGTTACCAGCATAATAGACATGCAGGGAAGTGTCCGGGTATTTCTTCACAAAGTCACAGTTCTGAAAAGAAAAAAAGATTAAGAAAGAAATAAAACATTTAAAATGGTATCATCTCTGGCACCATGAAAGTCAATTATATTGATGAATTCTTCGTTTTGAGAAATTCATCAACCTTATTTTATTATTATTATTATTATTATTATTATTATTATTATTGCACAGGGATATTGCTCACTTACATATATCAATCCTGAATCTTTGCCGTCTCCCTTTTTCCAAGCACACTCCTTCCAGTTCATGTGTGAAGCCACTAGTGGCGATCCACTGTCGCCTTTGTCCCCTCGCTCTCCTTTTTGTCCGGCGGAGCCCTGGATCCCAGGCTCTCCCTTTGCTCCTTTCTTTCCGTCAGCTCCAGGTGGTCCCTGGGTCCCATTTTTCCCGGGCTACCCAGGTCTCCTTTGGCTCCATCTCGACCAGGTGGCCCAGGGGCTCCCGGGACGCATGTCATGTATGTCCACATAGTAACCATTCAATTAGTAACGTCTGAGAAGCAGCGCCGATATCCTTGTCCCAGGTCCCCAAAAGACTCAACGAATTACCGGAAATAGGTTTCGAATTTCCTTTCATCCTGATTGGCAAATCGACAAAAGCTTTTTTAACAGGCCAATCACGGCGCATACTTAAATCCTGGTACACAGGTGGGGGCCCAGAACAAGCATTTCGGCGCTGTTTCACAGACGGATTTAACCAGCGGTTATGACGCAGGCTACCAAAGAGAGAAAAATGTTAATAATTATATAATACACTAATTTTTTTCAATAATTTATCCGTCAAAACAATTATATAGCGTTTAATTCAAATGAGTAGACAGAGCGATTTTCCTTAATTTGCAAGTTTGTTTAACTTACAGATTTTCTGACCGTTTTTAAAATATCGATTGACGTTGACTTAGTACATGAAATCATACCACGTAACTTTTATTAGTTCGTAACCTTGAGATTTTAAACAGCCTAAGAAAATGTGTAGGTTCCATAACGTTTAATTTTGGTATAAATGCAGTTACCTTGGTGTCTGGTGTTTTATTGTCCACAGCAGAGCAGGAAGCAGTCATCAACGATAAAATCAGAACAAACAACATGGTGGACAAAAAGAAGTCAACTCGTGATTGCACCATCATGGTTTTCAGTCTAGCTTGTCCGAACATTAAATGATCCTTCATAATATGAAATAATTTGAAAACCTAAGTTAGTTACTCGATTTTATTACTACGGAAAAAATAATCCAGTCGTAGTAAAACATACAATAATAGACTGAAAGCAGGGAAACTCATCCTTAAAATTCAACAAAATAGAATTTAAGGTGGCTCCCGAGAGTATTTACTAATAACCCTAGCTATCTAGGATACGTTACAGAGGAAAAGCTAGTTACTTTGTCTCCGCGATTTTGTTCACGAGATTCACCGCTATATAAGAAGGTTCCTTTATCAAATTTTATTTACTGGATTAAGGCCGTTGCCATGGCAACATCACATCCTTAGACAGGTAGTAAGTTTGTCATTTTTGATCATTTTTTCTGAATGTTTCTTATTTCCCTCGGTGAAATGTCTTTAAACTTTGCCACTTTATATAAACGATATAGCTTAACATTTTAAAGTGTAAAAAACATGAGGTCATTAAGACGGTTTTGACGATATTTTGAAATTTGTAATTTTTCTTAATAGAGAAATTTAGTTCTTACAGATCTTAACAAAAAAAGACAGTATATAGGTACTGCAACTGTTAAGAAATTAGGCCATTTTTAAAACAAATTACCGAAGGAAACGCGAGAAATTCACGGTTAATTTACTACGCTGACGTCACAAAAATCGGAAAAAACACGGGTGGTTCGGGTCGAATGAGCAAAATACGCGCGCGAGCCATCACGCGAGCATGCGCATAATGCACATAGCTACTGAAAACATGTGGTTTCTCAGAAAATTACGAAAGCCATTCTTAAAGCCGTATATTAGTATTATTACGGTGATATCTCGCCAGTTGAAAAAGGAGAGAGAGCGGATTCAATTTTATACCTAACACTGGATGGTTCCTCAGCTGCACGTAGAAGACCGTAGTTCTCGACGGACAACTATTGCTTTCGTCAGGGGTCAATCTGTGACTCAAAACTTATTTTTTGGTTGTCCAAAAACATTTTCTCGTGCATCTTGTGCGCTGAAGGACTTTTGAAACAAGAAAACGTACAAGGATGTTGGTTCGTCGATGGAAAGGTTCCTAAACAATGTGAAAGAGTTGGCAAAACAAAAAAATGTACTCTTCCTTCTTCTCGTGATCTTGCGTCAAAGCCACTTTTAGAATTTCTTAAATCAAATTAAGTGTAAGAGAAATACGGTGACCGAGGACCTCTGCCGGTAAAGACAATCTTCAGTGTTTTTTCGGGACTTGGCTCGATCTTTCAGATCTTCACCACCGACAGTGAACCAAAGGCTAGAAACAGCAACACTGCTTCCTTCAGGGTTAGTGTCCTTTACTTTTTTGTTTTCTTTGTAAATTCTCCATTCACCATTTTCTTCGAGTATTTTTTCGTTTGTGTACTTTTAAAGCGAAAGAATTGATTCTTTTGTGCTTCGTTTATACATACACGTTACTCTTATGGAGATCGAAAGTGACTTGTATATAACCGGTGTAACATTGTCTCCTCTCATAAATGTTTGACCTAAACTAACCAAACTTTGGGCACAATGAGCTTCAACAGAAGGTTAATAAAGTGTTTTAGGGGGAATATTTCGAAACTGAGAGGCCATGCATGTTTGTTTTATTTTTGCGTGGACATCGCGCAGATTTTAAAGCTCGCACCATATTAGTGCTCAGGTTGTGCACGGCCAATTTACTCTAGGGAGCCACCTTAAGACTTTGAACAAACCAAGATAAGGATCCACAGTAAATCACTTTACAGAAAACAAATTCTATAACCTCCAATGGAAGACAAGCGGCGAAATAAAACCGATTTCCTCAGTCAATTCCTAGAATCCTCCAAACCTTTTAAAAGCTTTAAAAGCAAAAAAGGGAGAATATGACATTTTGACATGAGGTAAAAGCACCTTGAGAAAGGTAAAGAAAGAAAAAATGTTGGTGGGAAGCGCGTCAGTCTGGCTTGTCACTAACTCCTTTACAGCAGCTGTGAAATTAAACGACTAGCACTGATTATGCTTGAAAGGTAGCATAAATAGTTTTCCTGAAGTCAACTGAATAAACAAGTAATTTTTTGGTAGTGTAAATTCAAGCTTTAGCGGCATCTTTTAATCCAATTCTCAAGACAGCCTTTTACTTAAACGTAGCGACTAAATCAGCTCAACTGAACGAAACGAAAACTTGTGTCTTATCTACCAGTTCTAGACAAGACAAAAAGGTCAGGACTCACAACCACGGGATTGCAAACGTTTTTTCAAAAAATCTATAGGAAGCTCCCCTTTAGGAATACCTGTCTTTTCACCGATGTCCTTGTATCCCTTTTTATGAGTGCATGATTAAATTTCAGTTTGTGGTTTTTTTCTTTTTTTAATCGCATCATTGTTTATGTACTGTTCTTAGCATTCACTGTTAAGTTCGCGACTGGATATTGTTTCAGGTTTGATTCTAGTCTTGTTGGTTGATGTTTTCCTGATTAATTAGTGATCGAGAAATCACCGTGACTTTATAGACAGAAGATTACTTCAGTCAGTCTCAACTTTCCACAACTAATCTTGAAGAATGTTTAATACGCATTAGGAACCTTACCATCCGACAACGGCGACGTCCATGAAAACTTCACTGAAAAATACACCTCGCATCCTTTCTAACTATTTTGCGATTATCCGAAGTCACCCTGTTACTTAAAAGAAGCTAAAAGGGAATTTAGGTGGGAGCTGGAGAGAGGGGAACGCACAGAACGCGCCCGACTTCAGACAAAGATGGTAGAATTTATTCGCCTTACCGTTCCCGTTCTCAAGTAAACTTAAAATCTGGTCTTTTCGCGTCGTACACTGTAGTTGTACAGGAACGGCAAATATATTTTACAAAAAGGCGTGATACACTTGCAGAGTTGTTGTTTTGCTCATTAAACCTATTGTTTTGTTTTGTTTTTACGCTCCCGCGGCCGTCGCCGTCGTAGTTTCCTAAGGTCCTTTTGTCATGAATTCAAAGCACGAAATCCGGCCTTAAGAGTTTGAATTACGTACTTACTGATAAATTCGAAGCTTTAAGCGCACTATTAAATTCATCTGTTCTCGTAGAAATCTTCTCCAGAAAAAAGGTGGTATATTAAAACAAGTGACGAAAAAAGAGTCCACAAAGAAAATTTTTTTCAAAGACACCAATCTTACCTCCTTCCCTTGTTTCCGAGAAAAATGATTTGGCTGGAGAAGGTGTTGGTTCAAGGCCTTTCAAACAAATGCTGTGTACGTCATTATTTACGTGCTTCAAAAAAGGTAATGCGAAAATACTATTGGTCGCTTCCTAACTTGTTCCCAAGTAACAGAACATATTAATGCAAACTGTGTTGCGCTGGTTTATGTGTCGCTTGTCATTGTTGGGCTTTGCAAATCTTAACTAACGACGTGAAAATGCGTAATTTCACGTTTAGTGGAGTCTGATGAACTCAAGACAACGACATTATTTTTTTCTTTTCCTGAACTTTCTATATAGCTTTGAGAATTCAACTCCAGAAAAATTGCCGGCAATTTAAGAATTGAACGAGATGGAATAAGCGCGATCAAGTTTGAAGCAGCGCGAATTCCCTTTGTAAGTGACGTTTTCGTAGACGTCGGTGACTGTGGTTGTTGCTTAAACTACCTAATGTATGCGTCGACTGTGGTTTACTCGCAGACAACAAAAACGCTAGGATTCTCTTTGAAAACTTGAAGTCTTCTTGGTCGTCATAATTAAGAAATTAAAATACACTTTAGTGAAGCCAGTCTAGCGCACCCGCTTCCTTATTGCAATTATTGGGTGAGGTTGAATATGAAGAATTATGCAGATCGAGAAGGGTGGTCTGTTTATAATAATTATTCAATGTGGCTAAATATCATTTAGGCAAAGTTAAACTCGAGCGAGTTGGCCAGAGGTCTTTGCCCACTCCAGTACGCGACCTACGGGGCGGCCCTCGGGGAATTGCAGGGCCTCTAATGTGTGCTCTTTTGCTAGAGTTGCACTGCATTGTAGCTTTGCTTGCTGATCGTAGCGGATCAATTTTTGCCTTCTTGCGAATCATTATAACGGATTCTTGCTCCCTCTCCTCGCTTCCTGCCTGGTGGTTTCGTAATTACTTTCTCAGGTAAATATTCTCTTAGGTAAGTATCTGTACTGAATCTAGTCAGTGTGAAGGTGCCGGGTGGCTCCCTCTTCCAGGGTTGCCATGGATACCTCCTCTCTGCTTATTGCATTTGGCTCCCCACTAACCTTTAAGGCACCTGCTCCCAAGCTCATCATTAGCGATGAGTTTAATTGAAAATATTTCCAAATTTATTAAACATGCTTAGCTCCATCGGTGTCAACTTCTTGCCTTTAACAGACTCGACAAATTCAGAAGTAAAGGGATGATTAGTTAGGCAGATGTTCTCAAAAAGCATTTGATTTACCATATTTTTGCCGTTCTTGCCATATTTTTAGGAAATAGGAAGATCGAGAGTCCTTTTATGAGAATCAGTATTGTTCTCAGTTGTAAGCAAAACTCGCGGTTATTACTTGTTATGGCTCAGCCATATTATTGTCTCTCAGGCCCCGTTTACATAGAGGTGAGGGACCCCAGATAGGTGATGTAACATGTGGCTGGTCACCCCACCTATCATTTAAACGTGATCAAACTAAAATGAGAAATGATATGGACAGGCGGGTTACCTCCCCGGGGGGGGCACCCCCTCATGTAAGCCATATAGGTATGTGCCGCCCCATCGGGTAGGGTTTTTGCGCCGTTTTTGTCTGAAAACGGGTATACACTTTGCGCATTTTGGTCTGGAATCGGGTATGGTTTTCGAGGGAACTACGGATCAGTGTATGAAAGTGTTTATCGTTTCAATTCCAAATGAGTAAGAAAGAAAGAGACATATGCGAATTCGGAATGGATTTGAATAATTTTTGGTTTGCCCTCTAGTCTAAGTAATGATAACATAATTTCTGCCTAATGGCCAGGTCTGAAAACGAGTATGGATTTTAGAGTTCTAGTGTGAAAACGGGAGTGTAAAATTTACATGTTTTGGTCTGAAATCGGGTCAGGATTTTGAGGACCGGGCGGCGCACCCCCCACCAAGACTGTATAAAGATTGTATTCTGTTTATTTATTTATTTAGCTTCGCCTAACTAGATTCGCAGGAGGTGCCCCCGGGTAAATTACCCACCTACCTGGGGTTCCCCACTTCCATGTAAACAGGCTCTTAGGCTATGTCCACAGGCGCGAAACCCGAAACACACCAAGGCAATCGAAGCAATTCAGAGAAGAGCGTCCCGACTAATATGTGGCCCCGACAAAGAATATCCTGAAAGACTTTTAGAGTTAAAATGGGACTCTTTAGAACTGAGACGGAAATATCTTAGCCTAGTGCAAACGTATAAGATTATATTTGGTTACTGTGATATCAATTGCCATCATTACTTTGATATTATTGGAATAACTCGAACTAGAAGTAAGCATGAGTATAAAATAAGGCCTAAAGTTGCCCGTACAAATTATTTTAAATATTCATTTTTTCATTGATATATTAATGATTGGAACTCTTTGCCTTCTGAAGTAATGTCATCCCCTAGCCTTCAGTCTTTTAAAGTTTCACTGATTAAGTACCTTCGCTCATAATTTACCTTAAAATATTAGGCATAGTGTCTTTAATATAAGTTTATGCATCATTATTATTAGGCATCTAGGTTTATAATTTATAGTCTAATTTATAGTCTTTTAATATATGTTTATATATTAATTAATTATTTTTTTTCTTTTTTTTCTTTTTTCTTTTTTGGAAGGTATGTCTTAGCATGGGAATTTGGTTTCCCCCTATTACCGTCCTGTTAACCATTTTTGTATTTTTGTTCGATTGTATATGTTAGTATTAGTTCATTTGTATCAGTTATGTATGGTTACGAACTGTGATTAAAGATTAAAGATTAAAGATATTTTTGAGACCGCAAACTTTTTTGACACGAATCGGCATCCCGTTCACACGAAAAAAGGTGAATCCGGCCACCGAAACCGGCCTCCAGAGGCGGTTTAAGGCCCTGTTCACACGAATCCGGATAATCCCAACACTGCGTCCCCCAGGGTCATGCCAACACTGCGCCCCTCATACTTAATTGCATAAATTTGGGTAAAACCTTAATTTCTTTGCATTTCTCGTGTATGAAAAATCTGCAGAGGTAAAATTGTTTTCATATCAATATACTACGATCTCTGAGATTCTTGGTGAGATTTTGAATGACTCCAGTTTTATTTTTGAAGGCGTGATAGTGAAAACCAGCAATATAATATCACTCCTCACTTCACAGATCGATTTTTCTAAGGGAAAAAAGTTTTCATAAGAGACCATAACAACTATCTTTTCACAGACGTGTTGCCAAAATGTTGGCTTTAATTCAATTCTTCTTAGCTGTATTTTGTACATAAAGCTTTTAAAATTAGCGTGGCTCATTTTTAACTATTTTCGAACTTGTATCACATTATAAAATTAATTCCGATATAACATGATGAGAGAATGATTCTCTCTTGGTTATGATGAACCATCTTAGAAAAACGACGCGAGTCATTGACGTTACACGTCTTACATTGCTTTTATCAGCTGCGTGAAATTTTTCTCAAAGGGTTTATGAACATTGATTCGTAGTTTTACAAAAAAGATGAACCGGAAATATAAGCTAAAATAGGCAGTAAACGATTAGTTTAAAACGAAGGAGAAAATTTGAAAGAGGGAAAACCTTTGACCTTAATATTAACTAAGGCATATCTTCAAATAAGTCTTGGTACGTGGAAGGTCCCTTCATCAAGAGTTTAAGATGAAGGTGGCCTAAAGGCCATAGTGCTACGGGCCTCGACCGCTAGATCCGCCCCTTTAAGAGGATTTTAAACCTTAAATTCAGAATATCTGATAAGGACACCCCGTTAATAGGGACACATTCTATGGATCCCTTAGTGTCCCTTATTCTCTCTTGGTGTTCTGCATAGTAGACCCTTGCATGGTTTTTGTTTTCAACTTTTGTTAAAGAGCAGTGAGCGAATATCCATCAACACTGCCCTGGAAAGAGGGCCTTGAATTAAGGTACCTTACCAAGTTTAAAGGTGCTAGGTGCAAAGGAAGCAAAAGGTATTTCCCCATAGAGTCGATCCTTTACAGACGTTTGTATCGTGGTGGCAAGAGCAGTTACGCCCCACCATCAAAACGTCTGTAACATTCGTGGAATTTTCGGTGCTATATCCTCGTTAGTTTTCAACAAATCGCTTTAAAACTTGGCAACTTTATTGATTTTAAGTTGTTATTTCCGTGTGTACGGAATTTGCTTGCTGGTCCCAGCCAAAAGGAGAAAAATTCTTAACATCGTTTGGCTCATCCATTTGCCTATTCCCATCACCTGTATTCTGGACCACATGTTGATATTATAAGGAGTTTCAACTCACTCTTGAATGACAGAAAGTTGAATTGGGATTGACTTTTTTAAGGTAAATTGTAATTGTCTCTTTAGCTTGTCTACATGAAGCCTGTTTAATGTTTCTCTATCCTACGCAATTGATGCGCTCATTTAACCGGTCAAACTTAGAACCGCGTGTTAACCGGTTCTGACTAGAGGTGGCTTTCAAAGGTTTTCTGACTCTATGGAGAGTGTTCAAGAAATTCACACCCAGTATGAATTGATTCCACTTGTTGTGTTGCCCTCTACATGTTTGTCATTTACGCTGTACTGTGTTAACTGCTTCCCCCGTATTGACGCACGTTTGGCTACCAGCGGAAATAATCTTGCTGGATATCCACCAGAGCCGGTCGGTGGGACAATGTACTCGCCACGCTTACTGTGCGTTCGAACACACATTATAACGCGAGGAAGACCTAATTTCATGGATAGTAGAACAATAACTACTAAAGCGCCGGAAATCATTACGATAGCGATGGTAGACAATTCTCCGGTTCCGTTATCTACAGTGAATTCTTTTGGCTGTGGTGAGGTTTGTATTTCTTTTGCAGGCGTTTTAGGATAGGGAGTTGTCATGGTAACATTTGGCGTGGAGGTTGGGGATGTTGTGCACGCGTCATGGAAATTGCCGTCAACTGTTGGACAAGTTTTCGGTGTGGAAACTTTATTGATGGAGCTAAGAGAAGTCGTGGCGCTGGTAGGTTCCGCTGGTTTCGGATCAGTCGGACAACGTTTCTCTAATGAATTATCAGTCGCCATTCCACTCTGCTGGGGTTGCATCATCGAAATTTTATCTTTATCTAAGCCTCCCCAACATTCCAGTGGACCTACTGTGAAGTCAGATCTCTCGCTTTTGGAGTTAAATTCCAGAGCAGTGACGGGAAGAGTTTTTTTATCTGTCAAATATCCTTCATCCACTTGCCATATTTTGGCCTTGTTGTCACAATTGCAAAATTTAGCGGTACTCACACAAGTTGGCGGGTCAGGCATTCCGCATGCGCATTTTTCACTTTCGGGTTCTGCTCCGCCCCAATAGTTTTGTCTCTCCGAGTTACGTGACAGCCACAACGCGTGAGGAGGCCCATTGGGCGAATTTAGAAGCTTAGAAAAGAAGCAATGAAACCTAATATGTTGGCGACATTTGTCGCTTTTCCTAATTAGTTGTTCAATTTGTTCCATTTTAATGGAGTACGTTATTTCATGTAGATAATCAGATCCTTTCATCATCCCATCTCCTACCCTCGTTTTAGTCATTTTATCGTGACGTATTGTCGTTTTTGCGGCATCCCGGGTTAAATTACAATATGCTGTATATGGCGTTCCACCACCTACTGAGTCAAGCAAACACAAAGCACTTTTCTTTAACCCCATGGCTTTGTAATATTCGCATGTGGCCTTGTAAATGGAAATATCGCATCGTTCCCCTTTAAATACGGTGTATTTACAATTACAGTAAAACCTGTCCCAAGTCTGTGTACATATGCCTCGGTTTTTACACGGATTCGGCTGGCAGCGATTCTGTAGGCGGCAAGTGTTTCGCAAATATTTATTAGTGTGTTTGCCGCTTTTAGTCTTGAGATTATTCACTGTAATCCTATGACTGTCTATCTGTAAGTTGTAAACGCACCCAACGAAGCCGGGAAAATCCCTCTCTTCAAAGGCACCAAGAAATATTTTCAGGCGAGATTTATTTGCGAAGTCAAGCATTAAAGGCCGTGATTGGTTCAAAGGTTCTGTCCGGAATTTCTCGTCGAGTTGCAAGCGAACTTCTCGCCCTCTGACACTAGCGTTGACTTTATGCCATTCTCCATTGTCAAGTTCAGAACCCAGTTTTAATGTTGTCCTTGATCCATTTGGAGCCATAAGATTATAAATCAAAGTGCCATGTGACAATCGCAAGTTTAACTTGACCTTAATCGCGCTTCGTGACAACAGAAGGCCTTGTTTGATGTATGAACGAAAGTAAAAACTCGTTGAAAATGTGTCGTTGTCTGCGTGTAACTTACGTACAGTCACTCGATAGCCTGTGTTCGGATTCGGAAGTGTTACTACCCTATAATCGAGTTCCTCGCACTTAAATGCCACATTCCCGTACACACTGACTTCTGGACGTTTGATTTCAGCCTTTCTGATCAGGTTTGCACCACGGAATGTAAGGTCTTCAATGCACCCGCTAAAATTACGGCTCTCAGGACGGTGGATCTTATAGTCGGAAGACCTCATTCCACCAATGAAAATGTTGCCGTCGAGGTGAAGATCTTGGTAGTCTGTTTGAACGATTTTTGGTCTTCGCAACTTATCCACCTCAAGAATAGCAGTTCTTCCACGTTGTACTAAGGTGACATTGTGCCATTCGCCGTCGTTCAGCTTCTTATTTGCGTCTAATATTTTCACCTTTCCATGTTTGTGGATGCCTCCGATATATCCTTGATAACTAGAGAATAAAAAGTATACATTTTAATCTTTTAAAGACATTTTTAATCTTCCTCTAAACCATGAAGCTCTCAAAGCGTTTCTCATACAACGAATGTCACCCAGAATTTGTAAGAGCCTGTATCCATCAATAGTCCGCTTGTTTCTAGTGAATAAAAAAGTAACCATTCCAGCGTCTGAATTTGGGAAAGTAAAAGTGCAAGGCATATTCTTTTTAATCAATTTGGCCCATTGCTGTCGGTTGCTTCTCTTCGCCAACAACTGTTCGAAGAAGCTACTGTAGCTGTACTCTTGGCAGAACTATAGATATAGGGCTACAATTACTATACAGCCATATTTGCCAGCGCTTCAGTCTTATTCTAATTCTAGCCCTCCGGCTTTAAGCGACGAAAGTGTTACTCCTTGCTACGGATAAAAATCTTTCCCGCGTTGATGCAAATATGAACGCACGAGTTAGATTGAGTTTACAAAATTTTTAAAAAATGTCGACGTTGTGGCATTACCCAAATCATTTTTTATCTAAAGACTACAAAAGGGGGAGTGCCTTTGTACTGTACTATAATATTAGATATGAATCAAAATCACAGGAACAGCCTTTGCAAATTAAAATGTTAATCAAAATAATTTTGCCGAAATCTTTTGGTGGTCTGGATGGTTTCAGTGGTGAGGCTTTGGGCAAGAATTTCATTAAAGATACTTAAAAGCGACAGTAAAGGGCAAGATATCAGTGATATATCTTTGGTAGCATTTACGTGTAAGCTAATTCAATTTGTACTTTGTTTCACATAGCATATAGTACAATGGAAGTACCTTAAACTAACTTTTTGACGATCCGAATGAAAAATGTAGGTTTTTGCGGCACTGATTTAAGGAATAAAAAAATAAGCAGACAAATCTGATCGATTCAGGCGGTGTTTCAAACATGGGTGAAAGGGAAAATTGATTTGTATGGCCCTCCTACGGTGTTGCAGATAAAGCCATTAAGGCCACGTATATATTTTCCGCAGAAAAAAAAGAAGGGAATTGATCTCTAAAAGGATCAGTATAAAAACATGCAGTGTATGGAAACTGCAATAAAATGTATGCGATTTGTTTCAATAGCGAGCAAATAAGTAAGATTTTTTTCGCAAAAAAGAACTTGGCGCATGGTAATTACCATTGTTGCTTAAGCGGAGAGGTACACAAAAAAATGCACAAAAATAAGGAATACATATTCAAAAGAATTAAACAAAGTCGTTTTACAGAAAAAACTGCATCGATCCGAATAACTACACAGTTCTTTTCGGTTTCTTTCAAGGAGGACACAATCTTGCCAAAGTTTAATTTTGTGTGATTCATTGCATGGTTTAAAATTTTGAGAGACAAAAGAAGGTTATTCAGTCTCCAAAACTGCAGGGAACAATAATGCGGAGTCTGATTAAACGATTTCTTTAAAAATAAGTGGTCGAAGAAATATTTCTGATTTCGACAGAGTTCTCGCCAAATTTAACAACAAATTTCCCCTATGACACAAAATGTTTATCATTGTATGTAAATAGTTAAAGAATACGAGAAATCAAGGTCAACAAATATTTCATTGGCAGTAAAAAAATTCGCCCATTAAGGAACGGATATTTATAAGTTTTAAAAACGTTTTTTCATAAAATTTCCTCAGTTAGCCATAAACACAGCTCATTTCCTTAAAATCTCATAATTTATCAAAAACATTCCTTAGGATCCCTTCGCTTATTTTTGTTTTGAAAACAAAGTAATCTTATTATATATTTTAAAAACCGATCTAGATATTTATCGCTTTGCTTTTATGTACAGTATTATACATTCTTTCCATGCAGATCTGAAATACACCCAAATAAAAATTAAGAGAAAAAAAAGAGAGATGGCTAGGAACAACAACCTTAAGAAACTAAAAAAAAGAAGCATAACCTTTTCTTTGGCGACTGAATTGCCATTAACTGCCAATGAAAGGAAAATGAGACGCAGTGTTTCCTTTTCAACAGACCTTATATTACATGTCGGTTAAGAAAAAGATGCGTTCAATGAAATACCAAATCAAAACAATAGGCTTCTTTTCAGTTGTTCTCACATCTTCAAGCTTGGCCCAGTAGATGGTTTTTACAACTGTTTACAAGTTAGCAAGATCTTCTCACACAGCGAACGTATAAAAATTAACAACACACTTACCGCACTTGTCCATGAAAGAGGTCAAGCTGAAGGTACTCATCAGTTTTAGCTCCTTTGGAATACAAAAATAGACCGTTTGGATGAATGGTTTGGAATCGCAATTTAACGACCGTCTGTCTGGAGTTTTCACCAGATTTTAGTTTGTAAGTCATAAATTGTCGGCCTCTTAATTTCACTTGAGAAGCGTGTAATCTCATCGAGGCAACGGCGAGGAAAATCAGCAATAAATTTATATTTTTTCTTAGATCCATCGTCTCGTGTTTAACTCGATCTGGTTTCCCCTGCTGAATGGCGCTTGAGGTATGGCACAATTGTAGATTTTAAAGAGGGTAATTAGAAGGGAACAAACTTTAGCTGGCCGCTGTTGGAGCTCAGTGCGGGACGACTTGTCATGCTCATTTGCCTGAAAGTAGAAAGCACAATGTGAGCGTCCCCTCAAGAATAGCCGAACTGTTTTGGTCAGAGCATCGCAGAGAGTTGAGAATTTAGTTAGAAGGGGGTTTGCAAATTATATGCTAACCAATAGAAACGCTATTTGGTAATAAGCAATAGTTGATTTCAATTTTTTTTTTCAAAACGCCAGCTGTTGTATTTGACCGACACTTCCTCGACTAGGTTCAAGGATGTCTTTCCGCAAAATCAGTGTAAATCAAAATGAGCCTAATCACGGCTGAGAATTAAAGGAAATTTGAAATACCGTAGATAAAGTTCGAGAGACTTGAGAGTTTGAACTTGCAAGTTGTGTATAGTTTATCAAGCGAAAGATCGAATGCGTTCAATTTCGCCCTGCCCTTGAAAACACCCTAAGTCGATCTACCGATACCGACGAAAAAGAGCTTTTTGTAATAAAATTACGACAAAAGTAGTAATTAAAACCCGCATTGATAAGGAAGACAAATCAAATTTTTCGATTATTTGATTCTCTTACCGAATAGTGATGTTTGGTCTGTCAAGAGAAATGTCAGTTAGGATTTGTTTCCTATTTTGAGCAAAAATTCAATAAACACGTCCCCAACCTACATCTCAACAAAAGAGTTCGTTCTCATTGGCTAGCGGTGGTTTCATGTATAGCTCAACTCTACAACATTTGGTCTTGAATGTTAAAAGAAGTTTAATAAGTTTCAAGTTCAGTTAAAAGGAAAGAAATTGCTTACTCTTTAGTTGATATTTGATCGATTCTCAATAGCTAACCCTAATTTTGAATATTCTGACACGCGAACAATTATTTTTAATTAGTTGAAAATCTATTTAACAATGTATCTTTCTTCGTTACTTGATAAAATCTTGACCTAAATTTACACGCGAAGAGGAAGTTCAAAATGCTGGAGTTCTATCTGTCTGGGTTCTTTAACTATATGAGGATTATTATTAATAGCATTTTGCTGTTTTACTATATTTTTGAATAAATTGTCACGCACAACTTCGCGTTTTTAAATTTCCCAATGATAATAAAATAATGTGAATTATGTCTATAAATTATCCGGCTGTAATTATTTCCTTTGCTAGTTTAGTTTGCAGTGACGCGTAAACAGCAAATTTTAACTCAAAATACTTGTAAATTTTTGTAATATTAATGATTGCATTTTGTGCACGTATGCCAGGTTTGTAATAAAATATTCTTCTTATCGCATGAGGTAAGACCGGGAGGGTGAAATGGAGATTACAGAAAGATACTTCGTTTCCAGATAAAATTTTATTCACGGTTAGCGAATCATCATTTACGGGTATATGTTTAGAAGATAAGTATCCACCGGCAAAATGAAGACGATATATTTTTAAAACAGCGCTGATACCATTACATCGTTTTAAAATGCATTTAAAAGCCTGTACACAGACGTTGTTTTCTTTCTCCTTTCGAAAATCCTTTTCCGCGGCGGTACGCGTGCTCGAAGATCTCTAAAACACAAAATTATGAGAGGGTATTTGACGAAGTAGTATTGGAGAGACATAAGAGTTCTTGTGTAAGAATCAGATTTTAAAACCCCGAGATATATGTAGTTAGATAATAATGTGAGGGTTTTTTCTTAATGGGATTCTTAGTTTTTTATTTTATTCCAATAATACGCGGCTCTTCGCGCTTCCCCTTACCATGATTTGTGAAAATCTATGTGTAATCTGCAAGGTCACTAATCTGTGATTAAAAAAGTTGTACCAATCTACTGTAAGATGTCGATAATGTAAAAGCAGCTCAATTCGGGTGGTTCAATTATTTTCATACCGCAATTAGGAAATTGATCTTTCAGATATGAGGTCAAAACCCCCTCAGTTAAAGGATTAACAGCGCTTCTAATTTCACATCATTGTACGTGCCATCAAAAAGACTCTTTCATATTGGACCCGGATACCACTCAGAGAAGACTGAATTACCAGTTCCTCCTTAGCACTTCCCACAATTCTATGCGAGCTCATTTTCTTCCTCAGAGCCACCAGGCTAAATTTGCAACAACCACGTGACAGAATGGAGGGAGCTTAGGCCCGGTTCAGACGCCGCTCCACTCATGTGCCGAACCTAACTGAGGTATTAAGTACGGCAAAAGAGCGGCGTCTGAATCAGTTTGGTACGGCAGTTTTAATTTGGTGCGGCAAAAACGTTAAGTTCGACAGGGTCTGTCGCATTATTCGACATTGGAGCGGCAGGTGATTCATACGGCGTTCTTCTCATGTGCCGAATCAAATGCATACATTATGATAATTTATAAATCTTCCCATAAGTCCCTACATGAAATAAAGATTAGGTTCGACACACGGTGCGCCATCTGAATCAGATGTCGCGCCAATGTCGCTCCAAAGTCGAACCAAACTCAGTTAGGTTCGGCACATGAGTGGAACGGCGTCTGAACCGGGCCTTAGTCTCCCATGCAGCCGTTTTCCAGTAAAACGCAGGGCCGGAGCAGAATGCTGTTATCTCGCAATTAGATCTGCTCAGTACTGTATTTTTTTTATAAAAAATGAAATGCAGTGAAGCTCTTTTGTTAGGTTCATTAAGGCAGATCTGAGTTTAAGACAAGCGACGGTAGAAACATTTTTCAGCATCACAGTTAATTTTGGTATTAGAGAAAGTGACAAGCAACTCTGAGACACCTATAACAGGCGTACATTGCTTTGCACGACGCAGAGGTTTAACACTTTGAAAACTGTGATGATGCTATTTCTTAAGACACATAAATGTTTGTGCAAGTTTTGAACCCGGGAGTCACCTCATAAGTACCATCGAACCTAGACATAACGACCACCTCTCCACAACGGCCCCCTCTCTACAACCGCAACGGCCAGTTTTTTTAGGTGACTAACGAAAAAGTCAAAAATGGCCACGACAGTTGAACTGTAGGGCAAGTCGATGATTAATTGCGACAAGTATTTCATTTCATTGAAGAAAAAATATAAATAGTACATTTTTGTAAGAACCTTTTTTTAGAACATACTTAGAACATGTAACTCAGGTTGAGAGTCTGTAAGAAACCTTTTTTTTTGACAACAGTTGCAAATTTTTTACATGCGCAATAGAAATTAATAAATTCTTCTTCTTCTTCTTCTCCCTATACTCAATAAGCAATTATTGACTGAGAATTTTGCAGATCGGTCGATGATATAACCTGGAAAGACTTTTGTATTACGAATATCACCAAACATCATTTTTGAGCGTATTTTGACATAAAAAATGAAGAGCATGAATTTCCCCCTTTTTTTTTTTACCAAAATCATGGGTTAACCCCTTTGCAAAAATTCATTGTGGCGACTTTTTTAAGATTGATATCTATATACCCTGTAAAGATTTAATTTGTATATCAATAATATCACCAAACATCATTTCTAGGCTTATTTTGACACAAAGAATAATGAGGAGTGACGAATTTTCCATTTTTTTAAAAGCAAATCACGGGTTAAAACTATCCCCTGTGCAAAAATCCAATATGACAACTGTGTAAAATCGGTTTCTTTATACCCTGGAAAGGTTTAATTCACACATGTTTAATTTATATAAAGAATCTTAACACACATTTTTAGGACCAAAAATAAAGTGACCAATTTCTCAATTTTTTTTGCAAAAATCTAATGTGGGGACTTCTTTAAAAAGATATCTATATACCTTGTAAAGGTTTAATTTGTATCAAGAATAGCACCAAACATCATTTCTAGGCCGATTTTGACAAAAAAAAATGAAGAATGAAGAATGTTGAATTTGCCAATTTTTTGACCAAAGGCATGGGTTAACCCATGGCCCTTGCAAAAATCCAATGTGGCAACTTTGTAAACTCGATTTCGTTTTATACTGAATCGGCTTGTTTTATATTAAGAAATGGCAAATTTGTATAAACGATATCTTTATAGCCCGAAAAGCCTTGATTTATATCTTAAATATCAACAAACATCATTGTTTGGCCCTTTTTGACGAAAAATATACGAAGAGAGAAAATTTTCAATTTTTTGAAAAAGTCGTGGGTTAACCCCATTGCAAAAATCTAACAAGGCGACTTTGTAAAATCGATATCTTTATACGCTAAAAAGGCTTGTTTTTATCAAGAATATCGCCATACATCATTTGTAAGCCTATTTTGACGAAAAATGAGAAAGAGGTATTTTCCAAGTTTTTAGCCATTATCGTGGTTTAACCTCTTTGACCGGTACCCTACACAAACAAAGAACAAATAAAATGGTTTTCTGTGGTCTCAGTAGCCTTCATATCCTTCTTACTAGAATAGATCATCGCCATTCGTCATTGCTCCACTTTGTTCCAGCACCAATAATGAAGAAAGTTCATGTTTTTGACTCAAAAGAAAAGGCTAATTCCTCAACATCACCAAACATCGTATTGTACTCATACACAAATAACGAAAAAAAGATGAAAGTTTGACCGGTTATCTTTGGAATTATAGCGACAGAGTAAAATCAAACGCCTCTTCATAGTCATAGTGTGATATGAAGTCGCTAAATACACCAATCTGTAGGGACAACACAAACACCGAGCAAAGTTACAACTCTGAGCTTTGTCTCCGGTCTAGGGAAGGTACGTTTTTTCTTGGGGGGGGGGGGAGGGCTGGGGCCTCAGAGGGGGGGTCATCAGTGAAAGGGAGCACTAAAGGGGGGGGGCCATACCCTCTTTTTCAGCTATTCAAGGGGAGGGTCACACACCTTTTCCAGAATTTTTAATGGGAATTTTTGTGATGTTATTTTCCATTTTTCTTTAACAGACTAAGTTTTTTCTTTTCAACTTGTTTCTTTTATTTCGGTGCAGGTACTAGTTTTACAAGGTTACTGGGTTTCTACATGTATATTATTCCATGGTACAAAATTTTCTCTGAGTACTCGTGTCCTTTTCCGTCCGTATCGTGACGTACTTGACTCAGGTATGGTTTCTTGTTCCAGCTGTTGTCTATCCGCTGCCTGATCTCCTGAGTCATTAAGCTCTGAAGAGTTACTAGAAGATCCAACAATGCCCTCTACCCTGTCGCTGTCACTGTCACTGTCAAACTCTGGATTTGAGTCAGAGGCTAGCGGAATGCTTACTGCCAATATGAGCCTTCACAACCCTCACTTTCTCATCTTTCTTCCCTTTAAATAGAATATTGTGATGATTAATATACAGTTCAAGTTCACCTACTCTTAGGGTTGACAATTGGTTTTTGTGATAAAGATCTTCCCAGTCAATGTCATTGTATTCCTTTCTTGCTGTACTCTTTCTGTCATTCTCTGTTCGCCGCTTATCTTTTCTTAGTTCAATGTCAGTCAGATGATCAATATAGTATGCAACTAGCTTTTCTGAAACAATATATTTTTCAGAAAAATCTTTGATTGCATTTTTATCCCCGGCTTTGAGCGTACCCTCTTGGAACATCTGTTTTATTTGAGCTCTAGGCTGATAATCATCAGGTTTGCGGCCAGTCGTTGGTGTTTTCGTACCTGGTAGGTAGTGAAAGTCAGGAAGTTTGCTGTAATCGAGATAGGGTCGTGGAGTAGGTGTAGCGGAAGTAGGACTTAAAAAATCAGTTGCTCGACAGTATTCGCATAGCTCGCCGTTTTTCTCTTGACAAGACATTCTTCTGTACTCCATGTACAGTTCCCCTTTCTCGCAGTGCTCCTCTTCAAATGAAGCTAGTTTAGCAAAATATCCATGACCTGGAACAGTGTTTTTCTTATTGTTCGGAGCATCGTGATACTGCTTCATAAAATCGCGGTTATAGAAAACCATTTCCTCTGGCTTATCCACCATCATTGCCGACATGTATCCCCGTGGTGCCGGAGCATCATCAACACGACGAACTACTTCTTCTGCTACAGCCCAAGCATTTTTTTCCATGTTTGCTTTCCTCTGGGTTTCAAGCTCTGAATTTGTAAGAGAACTAATCTCATCCACAGACAAACCATGAAGCGGCTTGTAGATCTGCCACTTGAGGTTTCCTCCATCACATAGAGCGTCTCCTATGCAAGCATTGAGCCTTTCCGCTTCGTTTTGGCCCGAATCCTCTCTTGCTCGGTGAATTCGAAGCACTTTGTCGCTGTTATGGATTCTTGCCTTTTCAAGTAAACGCCACCTACATTCGGCACTTGATACGCCAACTCCAGGACCGCCGTCAGTGAGTTCCAGCATCCAGGGATACACAGGTGGCAGTTGAAAAGAAGCAATGTGCCTCAAAATGTCATTACATTGCATAACCACACGTTTAAGTGTATTTTCAAACTCTTTGCTTTTGACTTTCCACATTTCAGATTCGGCTTTCTCAATGTTCTCTAAGAGAGCGTTTGCCTTCTCATAAACACTGACTCCCAAATCTCTGTCATTGTCTTCCATTTCTCCGCCCCAATTTTCTTTTGCAGATGTAACCTGCTGCTTCAAAGAATGCAAACGCAGCCCTTCATACCTTCTAAAACTACAATCGCTGGCTTCAGTTACTGACTGCATGTCAGCGTCCGTGGTAGTGTCAATAAAATAGAATGCAGCGTCATGAATTCTAGCGCACATCTCTCGAAGTTCCTCTGAGCAATTCGTATAGTTTCATGGCGGAAGGTTGCGTGCTTCGTGAAGATTTGGCTTCTCCCATCGAAGCCTCATGCTATTCGATGCCCAAGTGGTTGCATGGGTTGGCACGTAGGCCTTCGGCTCCACTACAACAATGCTGTCATCAGTGTCTGCAATTAGGGTGACCTTATCATCTACTACCTGTCTTTTTACGGATGAGTCTGAACGCTGATGGTGTTATGTATACTGACGCTTCTGGATAGTCGTGCACTGCGGGCTCTTGCCAGGGTCTCGTCAGATGGTTGCAGAATCGTTTGCTGCCTTGCGCCCTTTGCTCCCTCTGATGTTTCAGGTCGTAAATAGGCTTTGTCATCCATACTTATGCAGAGGCTTGCGTCTCCATTAGTTGCAGAGAAAAAATCTTCCTTAGCAAGCTTCACGTGTTTCCATTGGTGATGCGTGCACTCGTTTCCGTGGTCTTCCGTCTTAGGGGGTTTCTTGCTGCACCACAGGCCCTTCCCTATATGCCGCTTGGCTTGCTGTGATCTTTTATTTGTTGGTCTTGCTCTGGTAGCGACGCTTGACACTGATCGAAGGAGCCTTTTTCCTTGCTTGTATCGGCGATAATTGGCTATATTGAGACGATCCCTTGTCTTCACCCGCTGATGTGTGTAGAGAACAGATTCATGCCGCCTTCCGTGAATTGTAGCCTTATCTTCAATGCATTTCAGGAGCCACTCTTCATCTTCTGAATCCAGTTCTCGTTTTCTGCCTGCACCTAGTATAGGCTTCGCCTTGTTAATCTTTGTTGGGGTACAAGGCGACGAGCAGTTCTCCTGACAGCTTGATTGAATCGTTTTTGCGCTTGTTTTGTTCGTCGCTCCAGTGTTGAAACAGTTCTCTCTAGTGACTCTTTGAGTGTGATGATCTTTTCCTCTAGATCCCCAATACGAGCATCTGTCCACTTTCCGCGTATCGACTCGAGAGTTTTCTCTGCTTCATTAATCTGTTGTTCAAGGTTGGCTTGTTTGCCTTTGTACCTAAGTTCTACCATGTCATTTGCTGCGATGGTGGTATTTTCATAGGCCGCTATTCTTTCCTTGACATCTCGCAACAGTTTTACGACTCTGTCTGGTTTCAGACCGAGGTCGTATATTTCTGACCGAGATTTTCCAGTGCAAACAAGTAGTTTTGCGATCGATCTGTCGTACTCAGTCTCCATGCTTTCAAGTGCAGATGATAGGTCTTGAGCTGTTAAAACGGAATCGATCTCCTGAGGTACAACATCTTCCCACTCATCCTCTTCATGAATAACTTTTAGCAGCTCACAAACATCAAGTTTTTCATTATTCAAAATAATAAAACGTCGTTCAGATTGGTATGAATAAATCAAAACTCCTAGCCCGGTTTCTGCGCCCAGAATTTCATCACGAAACTCTTGCTTTGAGATACTGTTTCCGTAAGAGCTAAATAGCTCAAATGCCCTGTCAAACAATATAACACCGCTTGGAAGACTTTGCTCGTTTTTAGCTGTGCTGTACTTTGTAAATACCGGGGCAAGCAGCTCTTCCAAAACAGCACGCAGACTCAGCAACTTTTGACGTCTGGTTTCACTTTTCGTAGAGTCGATTAGCGCATTAATCCGGCATAGATTGCCTTGGCCGGAGAGAGACTGCAATGAACGAAGAGTGGTGGCGTTTATTCTTGTTGCAGTTCTCACCTCAGTCCTTCTTTCCTTGTAACTAAGGCGATGTCGATTCACTATGGACTGGTTCTTCCAGATTTCCAGTTATCGTTGTATCAGAAGTATCAGGTTTATTGCTACTTGAATCCATCCAACAGATGTATTCTTTTAGTAAATCGTAATATATTCTTTTTCACAACAGCAGTGGAATTCTACGTGTCTTTGTGCTTGTGCAAGCTTTTTTATCAAAGGAAATCAAATGGTCATTGATTTGGCATGCCACTATCAAAAGTATATGTGTTGAGAGGAAGTGTCACTCCCGGGGGGGGGGTACTCACTAATAGGTTATCTACTCATAAATATGGTATCAAATTTTTGGTTAGGTCATTAATAGCTCATAAATAGGGTAGGGAAAATCGCCTGCAGGCTACTCATAAATAGGGTAAGGGTTTTGGAAAGCGGGCCGCACACCCTAGTGGTCAGGGTGTAACGCTTCTTCAAGAAAAATACTGGCTTGTACAAAGCTTTTGGCTATAAAATGTGAATACCTTGTGTATTATTAAAAATAAAATAAAAAAGCAAAAGGATTTACTATTTTGTATCAGTCTATTTAAAGAGCGCGGCTTTTATATCAAAGTGTCAGGGCTAATTGCCAAAACAATGTATAACATTACGGACTGGATTAAAATAAACAGGCCACACTCAAAGACAATGTTTGTTATATTTGTAGTACTTTTATTTCCGGCGATAAATTTAGAAATTTCTACAGCAGTAAATTTTTGCACCGAGGCTTTTTCAGTCTGAACGTATTAAGCTGCTTCTGTTTTAAGTCTGCTTGTGCTTTATACAGATAAAAATGACCATTGCAAACATTTATTTACACGCCTACAATAGAAAGGCTTGTCGCTACTCTGACTAGTCTCTGAGAGCAAATACAGAAGCAATACAAGCGTTCGCCGCTCACAAACATAAACCGTCGAACATTTTATAATAGCGATTAGTTGAGAGTGTATGGCTCCAACGCAAAAGTAAATATGGAATTGAAGCAGATAGAGGCATTAATCCCTCAAAAACATAACACTTTATAGTAGCGACTATTGTGCGTCTTTGTCTCCAGCGCCCGCTAAAAAGGATTAGTAATTTGTTAATCAGTAAAATGTTACACGTCCGATTAAAGATCGCGCGTTGTCCACATTACTCAGCATCACTTTCTATGCTATCATCTTCATTGCTACACGAGCTGCTACTTTCACTCTCCTTTTCTTGTTCTTGTGTTTTGTTATTTTTCGTAGTGTCCGTTATCCTGTCAAACTCTTTAAGAGAGTGCGCTGATAGGTTCTCCAGGGGCACCCAACGAGAATATAGCTCAAAACCACTAAAACATAGCATTGTTAAACGTATTTTGGTATTTAAACGGTAGATATAGGCATATTTTTATCCCCTAAAAATTTTTCATCTGTTCGGATTTCCTAGCTGAAAGTCTAGTGATCCGAAAATCATAGGGATCAAAACTTACCTTTTCGAAAATTTCAGCCAGAAAAAAGGCTCCCGAAAATTCTAGGTGACCTTTTTAGGGTAAAAATCCGTTAAAAATAGGCAATTATACCATATTTTAGATGTTCGAAAATCCTAAGAGAAGCAGGCAAGCAAGAAATTTTGCAACAAATGTTCGAAAGTTCTAGATCTCAAATCGTCTTCCGAACAGATATTTTTCCGAAAATTGTCGTTGGGTGCCCCTGGTTCTCTTTCATAAGCTTGATGGAGTGAGTAGTTGCTGAGGTGCTGTCAAGCATCGACACGATATAACGAATCTCAAATGCCTTTATACATGAAACGGCACTAAGAATCAAATCTCCATGATCTATTACATAGTCTTCGTCATTCAGAGTTTCTTCATCAACGTTTAAAATTCTTGTTTTAATTGACTTTTCTTTTTCTGCGTAGCGTTGGCATTTGCGTTTATCGGCCTTACGGCGATTTTGCTTCTGCTTTCTCGACTTTCTTTTGAGAGCATTTCCTCGGCGAGGGAAAATTCTTTCAACTCGTTGTTTAGCCTTTTGTAGTAGCTCCAAAGTTTCCTCTACGGTTCACTGAATGGATAATATACTCTTTAAAAATTTTTGATTGGCGCTGTGCTTGCACTGCATCCCTGGTTTAAGGCGAGTCCATTAGCCATGAATAGCGCATTGTCTTGCTCTGTTGTCTCTTTATTTAGGCTTTCAAGCTTGCCTTTAGCCTTCACCAACGCATCTATGTTGTAAGAAATTGTTATCGAATCGTGTTGTTTTGCTTGAAAGTTCTGATGCAGGAATTTTCCTGCCGCTGCTGGATTTATGGAAGTAATATAGGAAACTTTGGCGCTTTCTTTCCTTGATAAATTCCAGACGGAAGTTTTCTTTGAATGGACATGTCGCCCAAAAACACTGGTAGAATTCTGCCAAAAGGGAATTGGAAAAGCGAGTATAATCGCCTTTTGAATCTGGGATCCATCCAAGTGAGACATCATTCCAGAGGTTGTTTCTTGGTTGGGTAGTTTGCCCATCTTGTGTAGTGCTTGTAGTGCTGGAATTTGGATCTGTCACTTTCGGGTGTTACTAAAACGAAGACCCAAAAACGAAGACCTAAGACCTAAGACCCCATGGACTAAAGCGAAGACCCTATGGACTAAAACGAAGACCCCTTTGACTAAAACGAAGACCCCTTTGACTAAAACGAAGACCCCATGGACTAAAACGACCTTTCCTCCATTATTACGTTTTACCACTAGGCCACGAGGGCTCTCACACCCCGAGCGAGCAAAAAGCTTTTATTTAAATAAAAATGACGTCATCATCACCGTAAACACTTCCAATGTGGTTGAAAACATGCAAAATATTTTCCGAAAAGAAACCTGAAGGAAAGGTGAGTGATAGACTTGACTATCACAACTAAATACTGCAGAGGAAATTCCACAACATTCCCAAATCGCCGTAACAAATTACGGAGCGGGCATTGCACTCAGCGGCTAGCATCAGTCGTTTCAGTCAAAGGGGTCTCAAAGGGGTCTTCGTTTTAGTCCATAGGGTCTTCGTTTTAGTCCATGGGGTCTTCGTTTTAGTCAAAGGGGTCTTCGTTTTAGTCCATGGGGTCTTCGTTTTAGTCCATGGGGTCTTCGTTTTAGTCCATGGGGTCTTCGTTTTAGTCCATGGGGTCTTCGTTTTAGTCCATGGGGTCTTCGTTTTAGTCCATAGGGTCTTCGTTTTAGTCCATAGGGTCTTCGTTTTAGTCCATGGGGTCTTCGTTTTAGTCCATGGGGTCTTCGTTTTAGTCCATGGGGTCT